GCAAATCAAGGCAGCTCTGAGATACCATCCTATTCCTGTCAGAATGGCTAAAATCAGAAATACCAGTGACACTGGGCTGAAGAGGATGTGGAAAGTGGGGAACACTCCTCCACTGCTGGTGGGAGTGCAAGCTTGTACAGCCCTTTTGGAGATCAGTATGGCAGTTCCTCAGGAAATGGGAATCAGTCTACCACGATCTGGCAATTCCACTCAGGCATATACCCAAATGATCCACATCCATGCAACAAAGACATCTCTTCAACAATGTTCATAGCAGCACTATTTGTAATTGCTAGAACCTAGAAACAACTGACCAACTCCTCAACCGAAGAGTGGATAAAGAAAATGTGGCACATTTACACAATGGAGTGCTACTCAGTAGAAAAAAAAAAAATGGAATCTTGAAATTCGCAGGCAAATGGATAGAAGAAACCATCCTGAGTGAGGTAACCCAGTCACAAAAAGACAAACACAGTATGTACTCACTCATATATGGGTTTTAGTCATAGAGCAAAGGATTAGCAGCCTACAATTCACACCACCAGAGAAGCTAGGAAACAAGAAGGACCCTAAGAGAGACAGACATACATGGTCCCCCACAGAAGGGGAAAGGGACAAGATCTCCTGAGCAAATTGGGAGCAGGGATGGAGGGGGCAGTGAGGGGAGAGCAAGTTAAGAGAAAAAGAAAGGGAATGGAGGAGGAGAGAGGAGGACATGAGAGAGCAGGAAGATTGAGTCAGGGGAAGGACAGAGGGGAACAAGTAAAGAGATACCGTAATAGAGGGAGCATTATAGGTTTAAAGAGAAATCTGGCACTAGGGAAATGTCTAGAGATCTACAAGGATGACCACAACTAACAGTCTAAGCAATAGTGGAGAGGCTACCTTAAATGCCCTTCCCTGATTGGGAGATTGAGTACTACCTTATATGCCATTCTAGAGCCTTCTTCTAGTACCTGATGGAAACAGAAGCAGACAACCACAGCAAAACACTGAGCCGAACTCCCGGAATCCAGTTGCAGAGAGGGAGGAGTGATGAGCAAAGGGGTAAAGACCAGATTGGCAAAACTAACAGAAACAGCTGACCTGAACAAGGGGGAGCTCATGGGCCCCAGACTGATAGCTGGGTAACTAGCATAGGACAGACCCAGACAGCGTGAACAGGTAAGAGGCCTGTGCCATCTAAGGGACCTCTGACAGTGGAACCAGGATGTATCCCTGGTGCACGAAAGGACTTAGGAAGCACATTTCCCATGGAGGGATACTCCCTTAGCCTAGAGATAGGAGGGAGGGCCTAGGCTCTACCCCAATGACTTGACAGATTTTGATGATCCTTCCTGGAAGGCTTCACCCTCCCTGGGGAGTAGATGGGGGATGAGAGAGGGGGGGAAGGGAGCATGGGAGGATGGGAGGAGAGGGAACTGGGATAGATATGTAAAATAATTAAAAATATAAAAATAAAAATAAAAAGTATGTGTGTCAGAACAGAAATAACAAAGAAAAGATATATATAGTTAAATAGCGTAAAAGGTGTTTTAGATGACAATTTTATCTCTGCTAATTTTTAAAAAGTGACTTTTCCCTACTGTGCTCATTCCATTTAATTTTTTTAGTTAAGATTTTTTTTTAAAGGCTCACCAGCAAGGTCTACAAGATCTTTACTTAGGAGAAAAAAAAATGCCATGGCACACAAAACTCCAGTGAATGGTTTTAAGATTCCAATCTGCCTGTCGTCCATTCTCCATGCATGCTTCCCCTCACCTGAATCCCATCTGCTCATGAAGAGCTGTCAAAACTCCCTTCCAGAGAAGTGGTTGCTATCATGGGCTGACAGGAGTAAATACATTGTTTCTCAAATCTTAGGCTATTCCTTCCTACCACCGAGGGGAAGAATGTCCACTGGAGACACTCCTACCCACTCACACATAGGTAAGGGGAGAGAAGGCTGCAAGGATAATCTTAAAAGATTGCAAATGGGTTGATTTGGGATTGATTTAAGAGACACAAGGCAGGGCAGGTATCTCCTGCAAGGATTAACTGAGGGAGGAAGGGAGAAAGTCCCCCCCCCACAGGGTCTGCAGCATCCTTTAAAAGCCCAGATAACAAAGAGATCTGAGCCTAGCTTGCTCCTGAGGCCACTGCTCTATTGCTGTGGCCATCATCTTCCCCTGACACTGCAATCATATTCATTGGTCTTCCAGTGAGGACTTCAGTGAACCTCCAAAATCAGACTTTCAGCATCAAATTGTGACTACCAAAATTGAGGCTCTCAAATCAGCTACTGGATTCTCAGCCCTCCTCCAATGTGAAGACAACCATTGTTGGATGGCCCAGATTGATTACACATATCATGTAAGCCAATCTAAAAATCTCTTTTTAATATATAATCATCCTGTTGGTTTCCATTCCTCTAAAGAACCCTAACTTGTACAGCAAGTTTTTGCTTGTGTGCAAAATTTACACTTGAAAATCCATGCATACACACACACTCCACTCAGATTTAATTTGAGGGAGGAAAGGGTCTGTAAGAATTTACAAAGAGGAAATGGAGAGAACCTTGTGGGGCACTAATAAGTGAGGACAAGCTACAACAATACATACTGTAGTGGTTTGAGTAAGAACAGCCCCTATAGACTCATATTTGAATGCTTAGTCATTAGGGAATGTCATTACTTCAATAATTAGGAGGTGTGGCCTTGTTGGAATAGGTGTGGCCTTATTGGAGGAGTGTGCCACTTGGGGTAGGCTTGGAGATTTCAAATGCTCAATGCAGGCCCAGTGTGTCTCTCTTCCTGCTATCTGCCAATGAGGATGTAGAACTCTAAGCTACTTCTCCAGCATCATGTCTGCCTGAGTGCTGACATGCTTCCCGCCATGATGATAAAGGACTAAACCTCCAAATGTAAGCAAGCCCCTACTTAAATGTTTTCCTTTATAAGAGATGCCACAGCCATGGTATCACTTCACAACAATAGAACACCGACCAAGACACACACACACACACACACACACACACACACACACACACACACATATATATGTGTGTATATATATATATATACATATATATATATATATATGATAATACCATAATGACACCCTTATTTTGATCACTAACTGAAAGAATAATAAAGAAAATGCTTATTTAAAACAGATACTTAGATGCAATGTTTTGATTTATAAATAAGCGACTATAGCAAAAAAATACCCCACCTGTAGAATTCAACCTGCAGTATTTCCAAAAAAAACCCACCAAAGACTATACCAGTTCCTTCAGTGAGTTTGAAATAGCAATAAAAACTTCAGGCTATGGGGCTACCTGGGCTTAAATATTCTTTTGCATGTGCAAGCAGAACAATATTGAACAAAGACATACTCTTTCTGTCGATTTTGTTTTGTTTTGTTTTTCATTCCAAACCTGGAATTACTATTTCATGTCACTTACAACCTTTGACAAGTAACTGATAAAATGTAACTCACATTATTTTAAGTTTCATTCACATCCACAAATATCATATGACACACCTCTATACGGCAGTCATCTCTACTCTTCCCCAAGTAACATCATCTCTACATGAACATTTATTAGCATAGCTTCTAACCAAGACAGTCCAGAGGATGCAAAGACCCCCGCCCCCATATTCCCTTATAGCTGTTCTTCCCTGGGTCACGGATGAGCTAGAGTCTAGTGGACAAACAAACATACAAATAGATTACATCCTTCCCCAGAATACTGAAATAAAATACCAAGTCATCTCTTGGCAAATTGGAAATCACCACTCTTGAAGACTAATTTATAGCAATACCATTCCATGCCCACCACTACCCAAGGAGACACTGGACTCCAGAGTTTTTCATGGCTCACTTCCTCCCAACACACTTAAAGAGTGTGATAGCCCACAGCTCCTTTCTTCTTCCTCCCACATCCACTATCCCAGTGACTCTCTCCACTTCCAAATGCTCTCTTTCTCTTTCTCTCTCTCTCTCTCTCTCTCTCTCTCTCTCTCTCTCACACACACACACACACACACACACACACACACACACACACACACGGGCTTCTGTTTCTCTAGTCCCTGACCAACTCAGATGAAGGTTATGAATCCACCACAGCACCCCAGGGCATGGACTCGGAACGGTTCTTCTGGCCTCTAGGCTGGGCTTTATCACTGTCAGTGTGCTGCCACATGGCTCTCAGACACCTGGGCTGAGATCCACAGCACCCTTTAAAATTGGTGCCATCCCTTGAAGAACCATGACGTGACCCAGGTCAGCTCCTCTCCTACCATCCTGTCCACAGCTTCTTCAGAGGACTGGCCTCTGGTATCAGTTCATTGTGACCAACATACTTGGACCCCAGCCCAGCTCCCAGGTACAGAGCTTACACTCAGACTGTGGACCAGGGTTCAGAGATTTCACAGGACTGGCTTACTCATGCCAATCAACCTTGACTCCTCTCTCAATGTAGAAAAACCGTATGCCCTGTTCCAAACCATCTGAGTAGTTACCTCTCTCTCAACTTCCCAAACATGTTCCCCAGAACAAGGAGTCTCCCTCCTATCACTCCTAGGAATACAGTTATTAATATTTATGGTTATATAATAATTAATGGATTCTGCCCTGGCTCTGTGGAACCAGTTTTTGGCAGCATCCATCTTATTACCCCAACCCAGCCTGTGTCCAGGATGCAGATGTGTTTCTGACCTATTAACATTTTGTCTATAATTGGGTATAGAACAGCATGTGTTATAGTTATCTCTCAGTAATTATCATAAACATCCTGAAAATTTCAAGCTCACAAATTGTCAAAATATCACAGTATCAAAACAGCCATGTTAAAACATCATGAAATAAACACAAACATGATTCTATTTAAAATTTTCTGGAACTTTCTATCTTTTTGGAATAAACCAGATCAAATAGGAAATGTTTTTGGTTTGGTTTTTAAGTTGAACAGATAACCCAGCCAAGCTTCTGTCTATCTCCATGGGCAAGCCTACCTCAAACCATTGCCCGTGAGACTGCATCTTGAGGATGACGCAGGGGTCCGGCTTAGACAGAGCATCTCTGTCAGAAATGCCTTTGCATGCCACACGCAGCTCGACTTTGGTCAGGCAGGGGCTGTTAAAGATCCCCAGCGTGTTGGCCGCTGACTCATAGATGTTACTCATCTTCTTCATTCTGTGTAAGGGAAATGAAAGAAAAGTAATGACGGGCCAGCCATTGCAATATTTTTCAAAGGGGGAAGCTGTTCCCTCCCCACAACAGATTGCCATTTGGGAAACTGTTCAGCCCACAGATATGAATGTTGAGAGTCTTCATTATCTCACTTTCCAACTGACTGGCAGTTTCAGTAAAGGAGGTAACAAACAGCCCTTCCCACATCCACCAAAATAAAGCTTCCCAAACAGATACTGACACACTTGGCTACGATCACCATTTTCCCATTTGATTTGTACAGTAAAAATTTTAATTCATGAAATAAAGTTAATGAATTAGTGAACTAGAGTGCAAAACACAATCCAGATTTATAGTAAGTATAAGCCTTGTGTTTGTTTTACTCATCAATTTCATCACATCTCATTTATTATTTTTAATTATTATCCTAATGAGTCATGTGTGTCTGTGAGTACAGGCTCATGTTCACCATGCACCTTGTGGAGTTGGTTCTCTCCTTCTATGTAAGTTCCAGGACGAGAATAGAGATTAGCAGGCATACACAGCAAACTCCTTACCCACTGAGCCATCTTCATGGCCACCTCAATTTTTTATTATAATTTCCTAAAACCCCAACTCTCCTTCCATGTAATGAAGCATATAAGTCTATTCTCTTGTCTCTGAAAGTAATCCAATTTCTTACCTCTGAACTATGGCTCCCTTTCCTAAGATGCCCTTGGCAAGCCAGCACCCAAGGAAACCTCAGCATGGGCTTTTCCATCTCAAGTGTCTAAGTCCACTCTCATCTTCCCTTCTATATTCCCAGTTGCTACACCAGGGCTCAAAATTAGAATGAGAAAATGAGGAGACAAAAAATAAAATAAAATAAAAATAAAAACCATAGACCTCTGAGTGTGAATTCTTGGAAACATCAGACATAGGTCTGCATAACAGGTCCCAGCAAGCACATTTCAACTTTATGTCCTTCACAGTAAAACTATGTATTGCTCAGGCAGGGGCTACCCATGCATTGCTCAAGTGGGGGCTACCCACACACTCCTCCTCTGAGTAGGGCGAGCTTATGAAGATGCTGGAAGATGCTCTAAGGATTATAATCCTCCCAGCATGGTCTATGCTTCTGGAGTCAATAGGAGGAGCAGCAGTGGCTTCATAATTTTCATGTGGATTTGGTGTCTTACAGTAAAATCTCTCCTGTAAAATGGGGGTAATTCTTCCCTGCCTCCTTCCCTCCCACCACAAGTATTTAGTTTCTCCCTATTGCTGTTGCCACACTAGTTCAAATGAACACAATGTGCCACCTTTCACAGGGTGATGGCCTTAAACACACGTGTGTGTGTGTGTGTGTGTGTGTGTGTGTGCGCGCACACGCGCGTGTGCGTGCACAGATACCACTAATACAGAGACATGGGCACACAAATACACACCAGTAAAGTTTGAATTAGATGCAGGTCTGTACACATATTCACTTAGTTATTATCTGTGGTTAATCTTACCCCAGTGGCTGAATTGAGTAGCCAAAACAGATTGCAGAGCCAACAAAGCCTGAAATATTTACTATATAGTCAGAAAATATATACCAACCACTCTATAAATGTCAAGTTAAGGTACACTAGTGATTGAGGAGAATTAACATCCTATTTTTTTTTCAAAAGTGTTGGGAAATTAGTTCAAGAACGTGAGCAACGCTGCCTTCTATCAACTGAATATTAATAGAGTTTGGGGTGTTTGTTTTTAACATGTTAGAAAATTTAAGTTCAGAGAGGATTGGCTGCTTGCCAAGGTCACATAATTATTCTAATGGCAGAGCTGGAGCTTCATTGCTGGCTTTCTATCTCCCAGACCACAACATGAAACATCTTCAGTGTAGAAACATCCAAATCTACCAAGGCATGATAGACATGGCCAACATTCTTGACTTGTGTCAGACTCTATAGTCATACTTACTTTTTATTTCAAAATAATTGTTATTGAAATATAAGACACAAACAAGTTGTCAATCCATAGCTTAATAGATTATAGTCCCTGTATTTGTGCAAATTGTGAGTAACATAAGAGACAAAGCATGCCTGAAATGAAGTTTCTGCCAAAGCAAAGGAAGGAGAGAATTGGCTAGGATGAAGGTGACTTGCAGAGAGACAGGTTGGGGAGTGTGCAGTGGACTTAACCAGCTTTTAATAAGTCATTGTCATACTGAACTCCTGATTTTTATAAGTTCTTGGAATCCACAGTGTTCTTCTGCCATTCTGGTAGCCTCTCTTCTTTCTTCGGACCATCCCCACTGACCCTTTATAGGCTCACATGCATCCTTTTCCAGATATATAGTTTCCATAAAGAATACATAAGACTTTCCTAGAGAGTGGAGCATCTTCTCCAATGCCAGCCTTTTATTTAAGATTTATTTGTGTTTATTTTATGGGTATGAATCTTTTGCCTGCATGCATGTAACTCTCTGTGTGCCTGGTGCTCAAGGAGACCAAAAGAAGCTCTAGATTTCCTAGAACTAGAGTTAAGGACAGTTGTGAGTTATCATGTATGTGCTGGGAACCAAATGCAGGTCCTCTAAAAGAGCAGCAAATGCTCTTAAACCCTGGGGTTATCCTTCTAACTCCCCTAATGCGAGTTGTTTTTTTCTTTTTTGGTTATTTTCTGATACTTTTTTTGATAATATTTTATTTAAATTTGAAACAAGCTTGTTTTACATGTCAATCCCAGTTCTAATGCCAGTCTTAATGGTGATGTATAATGCAAGAGTCTCTAACAAAGAGAAAAGTACTTCTAGGTGTAACTTCTTAAATCCTAGCTCCTCCACTCACTAGGAAACATTAAATAGGGTCCCCAACCTTTCAGATAGTCACATCCACCATGAAGAGTTTCTGTGATGAGTAAATGAAATAATGCATGTCAAGTGGCTTGTACAATGTTAGGAACATAGTAAATGCTATTATTCTCATTGTCTTATTGTAAGATTAAAAATAATTTTTACTGCCAGCTCGAAATCTCTGAGACTTCTCCATATTACTTTAAAAGCAAAGTTCAACTTGTTCCTATAAAGTCCTTCTGCCTTTGAAGTCCATGTAATCTGGGCATACCTTTCTCTAAATGCTCATAGACACTTCTCAAATCAGCAGCTCTCCAGGGAAACCACATGCATGGGTTCCCAAAGCAATGAGAAAATAGTGGTGTCTGCTCTGCTAATTTTGTGGAGCTGCATCCTTAGCTTCCCAGGACAGGCTGATTTTCTTTCCATCAGTGTTCTTTCCATAGTAGCAACTGGCTCCCTGGGAATCTCATATTCAGTATAAGAAATCTCTTGGTCCTTATGACAGATGGCCATGCACCCTGTGTGCTGAATGAGGAATCTGGTGGGAACTGCCTGAGTTCTATAGTACAGATTGCCCCATGGTCTCATCTTCCCAAATTTTCCCATCTGCATATCACCATAATGCCTTTTTCCCCCACATGGACCTTGTTCAATGAGCTTCAGGTGGTAACATATAGTTTCAACAATCTAACCTCAATTAATGCAAAGGAAACCTCTGATTGTAATACAATCAGACAGATAAGAAACCACATGGGCTGTCAGAGGTGAACATACATCCCTGCTCCTGGTATGAGGTTCCCATCATCCATATCACCTATTCTAAAACAGGAGTAACCTAGTCTTTGTGCCAAAAATTGTCCAAAATAACTGAAAATTATCAGGGTTTCTTCAAGATAGTTAATGGTGGTTGTGTAACTGTGTCTCCGAAATTGATACCTTCCCTCTGCCAGGAAAGTTCATTCAGACAGGAAAGAAATAATCAAAAATAGCTTCAGGAAATCCCTGAAACACATGAGATTCACTAAGTTCCTCCCTCCCAATAATAAATAGATAGGAAATGTTGTTGCAAGTCACTCTCAGAAAAGACAAACTGCAAAGGAAGTAAAACTGCCTAGAAGAAACAAAGACCATTTGAACTGCCTGGAAGAGGCACAGATGAACTGAGCCATCCGGAAATGATACTCTCCAATACACTGAGCTACCTGCAGGCTGCACACTTGTTCCCAGGTTTGGTGAACAGTCACCTTGGTAATACAGCTGCTGCCTTTGAGTCATTTTTGCTCCTATCAGTAATCCCTTATCCATATTCCTATAAGTGACCCCAATAAAACTTATTGATCCACCAACTTGGACTTTGGTCTGTATTGCGCTCCCTACCTGGGGTGAGATTTATGTGTTCCATTTCCCCAGGAAAGTCATAAAACATGGTATTTCTTAACTTAAGGGTTGTCATACTTATAACAATAGTAAATCAATCTACTTATTAATTATTTCAGTTAAGCAGTGTCTCATGCAGTCCAATCTGGCCTCAAATTCTCTGCTTAGTCATGGGTGACCTTGAACTACTAATATCCTCCTGCTGCTACCAAAGTGCTAAGCTTACCAACATGAAGGGAACCCAGGGCTTCATGAATGTTACCAAAACACTTGATCAATTGAGCTACAACACCAGGCCCAACAACAGTGAATTTAAGCAGTTTTAAATGAATAAAAAACCTGGTTGTACATGGTTAGAGATTTATTTTATTGCTATCTACATCAGAGTTTCATGGATCACATTTTTAAGCAACAGAAATGATCAGGGACCAATATGATGGCTGTACTGTAGAAGAGAAAGATCATGTTATTCCCTTTCCTTCTGCTCAAGGTCCTAAAAAAACTGATTGATTGCTAACACTACAAACTAAATTTAAACTTAATGCAAACTTAGTAGAGACTTAGTTCAAACAAAGAAACACAGTTCCTAGCATACAACTCTCCAAGGCCTTGGCTCTCACTGTCATTCATCCCCTTGCTCTTTTAGGTTCATGAGTTAGGAATGGCTTCTTATCAGTCTTAAGGCAGGCATCAACAGAAACACAATAGGAAACAGGAATACATGTACACTTTGTAAATCACGCAGAGAAGTTGTGTACCACTAGAAACAACATTTACTACTTCGGGGGCTGGACATACTAACTGG